CCGAATAAAATAATTAGAATATCATCCACCCGATATTACTATTTTAGTATCATGCACCCGATATTCAAGACAATATCAGGAACCTGAAATAATAATAAAATTATTTCACACCTATCACTATTATATTGGGCACATGATAAAATTTACAAAATTAATTATCGGGTACTTAGTAATAATCAATCATATCGGATGTCTGATATGTTTATTCTTCCCCGATAGGTGTCCAATAGGTACCCGATATTATAAATATATCGGGTACCCAATAGGTACCTAACAAATACCCGGTATTTGAATTTTGACCTGTGTTAGTATTTGCTGAAAGATATGAAAGAGAAGCTATTCAGTATGATATAGACTCGATGTATGTATTTGAAATATTAAAGAAAGAGACGTCATGACCAATTGCATCAGATAAATTTTATATTATAAATTCATCATTAGCAAAAAGTTGAAATAAATTTCCATATAGGGTTTATAAAGTAACAATCGAAGGAAGCCCCCTTAAAAAAAGTCTACAATGTATACAATATTTATGATATAATTCACAAGGAATTTATATGCATTATGATTTAGAATGTGCTAAGGAAAACAGGTTAAAAGTATATTTAATGAATAAATCATCAAACGTATTTATATATAAAAAAAATACACATATTACTGGAAGTGATATGTTTGAAAAATGGGATAATATACTATACAACATTAAGAAAGAAGGTGGAACAGCAGGAAAAGTAAGTAAAGCATTATTAGTTTTATTATGGGGAGCATTATGCGAACAAAGAAATAGACAAATTATAGAGCTCATTCAAGAATCAAACCGTTTCTTTTGGCATCAGCCAGAAAAAGAATATCAGAAATTGTAAGACCATTAGGTGATCAAGTAAAGCGCATTCATGCGAATGGATTTATAGTAGCAGGACAAGTAAATCTCAAAACAGATATAGAAATGTGTGAGTTAAAACTTGAGAAGAGAGGAGTTTGTACGATAAAAAATTGTATATCAATTATTTGGAAACCTTTATATCCTGAAATTCCAAATTTGATTATTTTCAAAAAAAATGAGTTTCACTCTACAAATAGTTTACCAGATTTTAAAAAAAAACAACAAGATAAAGAGCAAAATACTGAGATAACTATAAAAAGGAAATCACTAAAAAGGTTTGATCTAAATCTTCCGAATGAAATTATAATAGAAATATTTCAACATTTACGAACACAAAATGATAAATTAGACACAGAGTGTCTTGTTTCGCAGTGTACTAATAATGAATTATTATCCTTAGTTTTATATGTTAATAAACGATGGAATGAATGTGCAACATATTTAATATGGAAAAGAATTACATTATATATATACAATATTACAAAATTTGTAAAATTAGTAAAAAATAAACTATTACCGAATGTAACAAAATATATAAAACAGAAAGAATTTGAAAGAATAGATAATTATAATATGAATGAATTTCTATTAGAAGACATTGTAAGTATATGTCAAGATATAATAACTATATCATTTAAGAATTGCAGTTGGAGATTCCTCAACAATAGTTCACTAAAGATAACATTGGATATATGCAAGAATCTAAAGTATATATTTATTTATGGAAGTAATCGGATAGCACCAAAATCAATCTTAAGTATATCAGAAAAATGTATGTATATAAAAACTATAAAAATACAAAATTGCGGATGAATAACAGATAAAATATTAGATCAATTAGTAAACAGATATTTAAAAATTGAGATTAATAAGTTAATTAAAAAAGAACAACATATAAAAGATCAAGCCATAGAAAATATATTAGATGAAATCTAGTTTACACTAAGAGATAAGTAAGGTATTTGTTAACAAAAAGTGTTCGTCTCAACTATACATGTTCCCAAAATTGATTTTGGATTTTTGAGGTATTTCGACTTTTTGAGATTTATGCAAAATCTATTCTATATATGGAAGTAAAAAAAGTACCTAGTTATATGTATCTTTAATCAAAGAATAAATCTGGGTGGTCAAAAAATTTTGGGTTTTAAGTAAAATAATTTCGTCTTCTATGAAAAACTATTTTGACTTTTTTCTCCAAAATTGCAATTTCGGGACCCCAAAATAATTTTGCGTGCAAGTATAGTCTCAACCAATTTTTTTTATTAAATAATAAAACTCATATTAAATAAAAACATATATTATATAAAACAAAATATAAAGAATGACTGACAATAGTTCAAGTTTAATAAACAAGCAGGACTCAGAGTTAACAATGCAAGATATTACATGGAAAATGATTGAATCAGCACAAATAAAAATAATAAAAGTGGCCTTTCATCTTCGATATAGAAAAGATAGTAAGCTTATTAGTGAATATGCTGGTTATGTAAAAAATTTGCATAATGCAGAAAATCAAGATAAATATATAAAATATATTACAATAATACTTTTTCCAAATGATGAAATGTATAATAAAAGAATGTCAAGATATAGAAAATGGTTTCAAAGTAAAAAAGAACTACTTATCTATATAGAAGATTTATATAATCTTTATTATGAACTATCCAAAAAAGATCGACCTATGACTGAAACAGAAATTGAGGAAGCCATTGATGATGTGCTTATAGACGAGTAGAGCGGAGCTCATTCTTTCAGAATAATTTATTACTGTTTAAGTATCTATTTCGATGGATAATTAACCATCCCAACTTTCATTAGTTGTTCTCTCACAAATGATCTCTCAGGTCCATTGTCATTTTCATCAATAAGTCAGTACAAGACTGGTTGATTTTTTTGTATTAAGGATTCTTTAATACAATAAACTTTGGGAGACCAATTCATATCAGTTATATGTCTCCTACTGAATTCTAACTCTCCAGGTTCGAGTAAATATAAAACAGAATCTTTATAAGTTAATCGTGGTTCATCAAACTCAATTAGCCTTCGATATTTAACTGCAGAATCCGTGATAATTTTTTTACCCTTTAAAGCTCTTTTTACAGCTTCATTAGGTGACATATGAATTAACCAAGTAGGAGTATCATTATAAATATCATCATTTAAGCGAAGACCTTTAACCCATGATCGACACCTTTTAGATAAAGGTAAAAAAAAATCCACAGCATCTTGACAAATATAAGTGTGTTTCTCAAATTCTTGGTGATCTCATTTTGCTATTGATGTACTATGTTTAGATTTAGCTTGTATAATTTTTATGCCATGACTAAGTAATAAATCCCTACACTTACCTAAGTATTCAGTATCTTTATTCACAATTAAAACTTTTGGCCATGTAAGATGATTACCAGAATCCCTATAAATTGCTTTAAACATTTTAGCTAATGATGCAGAAGACTTATTAGTTAAAGTACAACTTTTACGAAATCTAGTGGTAACATCTTTTATAATACCCCTATGTTTAAAAATTCGATTTACAATTTTATCGTGAGAAAGAGGTGTAAGATTTGACTTATGTACTTCATTTAAATCTCGTATCCTATTAAAAGAAGTATATTGAATAAATTTAGGCTTAGGTTTATGAGCTAAAAAAGTGATCTGTTTATTTAATCAGTTTTTATATCTGTTAACAAAAAATTATAACAAGCTTTTTTACAGGCATTATACATTTTTTCTACAGTCTGATAATAGCCTTCAGGTTGATAATATACATTCTGCAATGTAATATCCTTATTAAGTTCATGAGCCCTTTGTGAATCAATATAAATTACGGATTCACTCATAACTTTAGTTTAATATAATTAGCAAAAATTTATCATGGAAGAATTAAGACAAATTAATCAAGAGCTCCATGAGGAAATTAACCGATTGGCTCAATCAAATAGAGACTATGAATATCGAACATACAACCTTGAACGTGATATAGTCTTGCGTGAAGAAAGGATCCAGTATCTCGAGAAAGAGCTAGCAAATACAATCGAACTTTCAATACAAGAAAGGGAGGAATTGAAAAAAGAGATATTAGACCTAAAAAATTCTGTCTATCAGCTTAAAAAAGAAATTAAGCAAAAAGACAAGGAGCTAGCTAACAGAGAAAATCAATTAGCCGAATTCGATGTAAGGGAGAAGAAACTCAAAACCCGAATTCGTGAAATATCTAAAATCTGCAGGTAAACTCCTAAAGCATATAACCAAATGGTAAAATTAATAGATAAGAATAAACGTCTCAAACAAGAGATCGATACTTTAAATTATAATCTTAGAGTTCGAAATAAAAAATTAGCCCAGAAAAAAACTCGAATCACCAATCTACATTGCCAAAATTTCGGTATTAGGTTATTACATTATCGAGATAAATTAGAACTTATCAACACCCGAGAAACTTTACGTGTTGCTGAGGCATGGAATATAGATAATGAATCAAATTCAGAAGAAAATTTTGATGAAAATTTTCAGGATAATAATACTTCAGATTCAAATATGACTACAATATCAGAATTAGTCTATGCCATAGATGACTATTTAGATAATACTAGAATAAACAGACCTGTTCTAGTCAACTAAATAAAAAGAGTTACAAGACAGATATGTCGCAAATACAACAATGTTAAATATTTTTACACACGTTTTTATACTTTTTTATACTTTTTTATACTTTTTTTTTGAATTTTTAAATTGTTTCACAAAATGATAAACCTGAT